AGATATATTTTCTAATGAGAAGAAATGAATTCTAATTATTAGACCTATAAGTTCAATTAGAATTTTCTACCAGTGCGCTCGCAAAAATTTTTGAAATCATAAAAATAGATTATTGCGGAGATGATTTTGAAATAATTATGCTTGGCGAATCAATTTTCTGAAAGAAAAAACAAGTTCTGAAACTCTTAGTTGCTCTTTCATAACAATATTGCCTTCTAGCTATTTGAGTGAAACCTTTTTTTAGCGAATGAAGTTCATTTTTAAAAATTTTTGAATTAAAGGCATTCTATCTATAGTTATAAAGTAATAGAAGAGGAGCATAACGTAGTTCTACGTCCTCTTAAACTGCAATTTTCTAAGTCTAAGAAAACTTCAAACCTACATGTATCCGTTATGTAAATCGTAGGTATGTCTATATCTTGATTGGATTGAAAAAAGAACGATGAGTGGTCGGCAAATAAATAGGGGTGCAACCTAAAAGAGTTACATTGATAATCTCGTTTAGATAGCAAAAACAACCAATCAGAACCTGTGCAAATCTTCAACGGAGTCGATGGCATCAATTGGTAATCCTAAGAGCAGTAACCATGGACGGAATGACCAGTCATTATTCACACCAATAGAGCGATAAAATGCGGTAAGGAAACTAAATTGCAGTATTATCAAAAGCCCTCTGAGCAGTGAATGAAATTTTGCTTACTGTTGAACCAGCAAATCATCCCTCTTCACTCGTGCAATCAGTTGAATAAAGTCGCCCATGTGACTGTGCTCAAAAAGTTCACGAGCTGCAGTAGGGAACGTCTGAAACTATCACATAATCAATTATTGCTCATGTTGGGCCAATCACAGGTTGGGTAAGACACGCCCATCATCGAATGGTTTGGCATTAATAAGAAAAGTAAAGGAAACCTCTTCAAAACCTTCTGGCATGCTTTGTGTGGCTGGAAATGCGTTGAAATGTAGAACACCGTCAAGCACCAGCACACCGGCTATTGTAGCATTGGAACGTGAGAGGTATGGTAGCAAAACTTCTTCGACGAAAGCATGGCTACCAGCCAGAGTATAAAAAAATGTCATTAGGTTGCTGATTGCTTTAGTTCTTAAGAAAAGGGAGCGGGTTTAGGCTACAACTAATAACGAAAAACGCAAGTCATCCCTCTTCTC